TGGCGGATATGGAGGACATTGTGGATACGGAGGTCATGGATGGTATGGACATGGTGGTTGGGGTGGATGCGGTCATAGTTGTGGTGGCTGTGGTGGCTGTGGTGGCTGCGGCTGTGGAATTTTCCGATCTAAACTTGCCAAGAATGACAAGAAACAAACAGAAAAGCAAGCGAAAGATAGCTCGCAGCCCGCTCAAGATAAGAAAGCAGCACCAGATGCGGGAAAAAAGGAGGAAAAGGCAACTAAAAGGTGTGGACTTTGGGGTGGTTTTGGAGGATGTGGAGGATTCGGTGATCTTGGTGGATTTGGAGGTTGGGGAGTTGGCGATTGGAACTTCGGTGGTTGTGGAGGTCCCTTCGGAGGCTGGGGTGGATATCCAGGTTACGGCTATGGCTATGGAGGCTGTGGTAGCTGTGGAAGCTGTGGAGGTTGTGGAGGCTTTGGGGGATGTGGCTATGGGGGTTATGGTGGCTGTGGAGCCTCTTGTGCTGATGCTGGACCGTGGACATTTTTTAATGGCGGCTGCTGTAAATCTAACGTGGGTGAAAAGGGTTCTTCTGATAGTGCTCATGATGAGAAGTCTCCAGGCAAAGAAGCTGCGCCATTGTCTGTTCAACCAGCTGGGGGACCTACACCTATAGCCAAAGCTGCCGCTGCTGGTGCTGTGAAACCCGGTCAACCAGAACCAGCACCAGCATCAGCACCTGCTAAAACTCGGGATCAACCAGCAGCCCGAGAAAAAGCTTCCAAACGCTACGGAATCCCTGGCTTTGGAGGTTGTGGATACTGCGGGGGCTGTGGACGTGGTTTCGGAGGCTTTGGAGGATGCGGAGGGTTAGGATATGGAGGATTAGGATATGGAGGGTTAGGCTATGGAGGGTTTGGATGTGGGGGATTTGGTCATGGGGGCTATGGACTATTGGGTCATGGATTTGGTTTCCCCGGCGGCTATGGTGGTTATGGCTGGGGATTTCCAGGTTATGGATATGGTTACGGTTTCCCATTAGGTTTTGCTCGATCAAAACTTCCCCAGAAGAATAAAGACGTGAGACCAAATACTCGTGGGGAAATCCCTGTAGCAGACGGTTATGTACAAAAGAAGAAGCAAACTATTCATCTTGGATATGGTTATGCCAGTGGTGATAACTATCGTCTTGGATATGGATTTGGTGGGATGGGAGGTAGCTAACTCAATTTTTTTCCAAGTTCTTATTTAAAAGTCAATAATCGTAAATGTTTGATTAAGGAAAGAAAAAAATGGCCTGCCGGAATCAATTCTTACTACTTTGTTATTCGGCGACCCCACAGCTGAGGTAGAGAGTAAGTAATGGACTTCCAATGATCGTTAAACTTACTAACCAAAAACAAGTTAACAAGTGTGACTAATAGGATTTAATCCTATTACAGCCAGTTCAATATTTATGTTTTTGTCTTTGCATATATTACAGAATCGTTTTCATAAGCTCTTTTATTAAAAGGTCTTAGTGCAATTTGTATGCAAGATATGGTTATGTTCGCCTTTCCTAGGTTTAGCTGGCTATCATGGAGTTGGTGGCGTTACTGGAACATCCGTCTATCGCTCTAAGATTCCAAAAACGAGTGTAAAGGGCTTTAAAAGATGGGGCTGGGGACATGGTGGGTATGGCGGACACGGATTCGGTCATGGTCATGGAGGATGGGGATATGCGGCACCTTATGGTCATCCCATTACCCATCCGGGATTCACAAGCATCGGATTTCCTGGACATGCCCTGGCAACATTTGACGTCAAAAACAGCATCGCTCAGAAGCGGGGAAAACAAAAGCGACAGATAGTTCCCTTTGGTGCAGTGAGTCCTGGTCCACTGGCTTTACCTGCCACTCTGCCTGCTCCACTTCCTGCTCTTGCACCTCTGGCTTTGCCTGCTACATACCATGCTCCTGTGTATGCCCCAGTTGCACATCCTGTTGCCGCTGTCCCTTCCTACGCCGCTGTGCCCGCAGCAGGCGCACTACCAGCGACTGCTTTACCTGTTGGCTGTGAGTAGACTTTCTTTGTGTTTGTTGCGCCTCCTGGTCTCACGACAAAGTTTTGAATTTTATTGACGTCACTGCTATGATTGATAAGGTCAATGGTAAATTGTGGTCGATCTGATTTTTACAATAACATCTCATGTGCGTGCTGTTCTTGTTGTTTTAATTTGTGTCATGTAATGACTTCTACAACAAAATATGATTATCAAAATGAATTACATGACCATAGATTCTGGTACCCTGAACTGTTATAACCCACTTAGTTTTAAATTTTGTGCCGTTTGTATTGGCATCGCTATGTATTTCGTCGCGGTCATCTACTTCCAACCTTGCGAACCGAGAACCGACTTTCTTTTACCGTGCCTTTTCTTTCACCTAGACAAGTTCTTCTCCAAATGTTACTCCGGGTATACCGGTCATAAAAGTCGGAATTTCGTCACTGGCCACTTTTCAGAAATTTGCAATTGTTTTACGGAAGTAAACTTCTTCTCCGATATGGCGTGGATTGCTCAGCGTTGCGTTACATGTTGCATCATTTCTATCTTCGATTGTTCTCGACTAATGAGCGCGCGAGAATTATCACAATAATTGTTATTATTATTATTATTATTATTACTGTAATTATTATCACTGTTTCCCTATTGAATGTCACAGCATGTTAACATGGGCTTATCTGATTAAATTATAGTGCACCTTGGTGGACCAGCCGTTGCCGGACTGGCGCTAGGCCGCTCTAATATGCCACAAGGTTTTGGACCTTTTGGTAACATAAAAAGATCCGAAATGCCAGAAAAATGATTCAACACTTTATAGGTGAGGAAAGCTCAAACGGTAACTGAACTTGCAAGCTGGCCCCCACTCAAGGGTTTGTTCAGCCATGTATTAAATAGGCAAACACGTCAGCTCTTCTAGTCTTCTCATTTTATTTTTGTCATTCTTTGGTCTTGGTAATGTTGCCATGACGACCCCGAAGCGTATAGCATGAATTTTATTTTTTATCAGTTTGGCCTCTATTTGCTTTAACAACAACCCTCTTCAGATTAAATGGCGAAGATGATTGACTCTGCAATTGCTGTGACTCGTGTTCGTGTGAACAGTAACTGCTCCTGTCCTGTTACATACGTTCTTTTCCGCATCTTTTTTTGTCGTCGAATGCCCTGTATTCTCTTTATTATTTCTAAGAGTAGAATGTGTGAAAAAGAATCCCAGTTAGATGAATACTCGTTGAAAATGACTCACCATGATATCAAAGCTGCATTTATCACTTCTGCAGAACTTTGCAAAGAGAGAGAGTTCGAAACGCGGTTAACTGTATGACCGTGACTTCCGTTAATTTATTTTTTGGTACCTTACATAGATTTCTCTCAAAACTCTTCTCGATAGACTCGGTGCTTTACCTTCCCATCCACAGAGCTTCGTATCCCGTATAGAAAAAAGAGAGACAAAAGGAAGGGATGGAGGAGGGGATCAGCTTTTTAGTCAAAGAAAATTGATGTCTTCTCTCATCTTCTTCTCTGTAAAATTGTTCTTTTCTCTTGCAGGTTGAAACAAAGAACGTAGAAACTTCATCGTAGAAGAAATCACAAGAAAGAAATGAATTTTTGTTTTGTATCGTTAAAGGAAAGAGCTTTGTTAAGAAGTGTTATGGTTCATTTTTTTAATTATCTACACGGTGCAGTCGTGTTCCTGATCTGCACACAGACAGTAAATAATTTACCAGAAACGTTTTTAATTTCAAGTTGTCAAAAATAAAGTGACATCACTGATTTACATATGATTGGTTACTCTTCTTCTCCATTCTCATTCTTTTAATTATCAAAATGGATGTCCTTGAATGAGAGTATAGGACAATTCAGTGTCAATCATGGTCGGTCTTAAAGAAAAAAAAAAGATTATTTGACATTATGACGTGTCATGACGGCTGAGAGATTAATAATTACTTTTATCTAGGGCCGGCAAATGTTTATGAAATGTACTAGCACGTTAGCTGTTCTGAATTTTTCCCCTGAAACCGTTGAGGGTTAGAAGAGGCTGTGTGTGTCTATAACCGTAAACGAGGTTTTTCCGTCATTACCTTTGTTAAAGTTTGTTCTTCTGACCACCCATATTCCCTTAACGATGCTTGCGTATCCCCTTTTACCATCCATCAGCGTTCCCTTATAACGTTTCAGCGAACTAACCCGTAACCGAGACGACTTGTGGGCGCAACTGACCCATAAGCGAAATGACTTGTGGGCATACCGACCAATAGCAAGATGACTTGCGTTCGGGAGTCAAGGTGGATGCGCCAATATCATCATAGAGAAGCAGATTAACAAGCAAATAAAGAAAAGAAAACTTTTAACTGATAGAACTTGCTCAAAGAGCACTTGCCCTCCACCAGCTGCAAAAACAGCAATAGGAAATCCTTCACCAGTGGACCAGAGGACACTGATATACTTTGCACATAGTTTGTTACGTTGGTTGGTTATTACATTATTTTGATAATAAAATTTGACTTGTGTTTGGTCCCTTGTAAGTGCTAGTTTCATTTGTAGAGAGAAAAATGGAGTACAAAAAAAAAAACACGATACCTTAATAATGGTTGCAGAATTTTTATTGCACTCTTTCATTTTCAAGTGCGCAAAAAGGTATGAGCCCCACCTTATTTGCACTAAGGCAATCCTTTCCTTCCCTGTTATAAATGAACGGACCGTAGGAAATTTGTATACAATGTATTCCATTTATAATTGTGATGTGCTTCAGACCTCTTAATTGTGCGTTTGGACTGCGACTATCCCGCGTTTATCACGCGACGGACAACCGGGGTAAACTGGGAACGAAAATGAAGTAAAGATGTTACGCGCGTGTTCGCGCTTGATGCATTCTCCATGGAGCGTAACAAACATTTTGGTTTTTCTTCATTTTCAAAGCCATTAGACTGAAAATTTCACTTTCAGCTCCATTCCGTTTTGAAAACGTGTCTATCCTCGTTCAATTTCAAGTAAATGGCGTCAACGGTTGTGGCCCTCAGAAAACATGGAGGAAGCGTTTACGATGGTAAGACACTGCATGACAATCGACTGTTCTTTAATTTGCCAAACTTAAGTTTGGGTGAAATGAAGTTAAAGTGCTCTTAACGCGATAAAATTGTTCCTATATCTTCAGCAATAACTGATAGAGAATATCGATCGTTTAAGTATTCTTTACTGACTTCTGTGGTTTGAAATGTAAGCTTACAAGTCTGAAATATAACAATATTTTGATACAATCACAAACTTCAGTGGGTTTGCATTCAAACGTCTTACTGATCTGCTGGCCCCATTACGTCTAAATTATTCTATGTTGTCTTAAGTAGAAGATCAAATTATCGGTATGTTTAATACAAAAGAATTAGCAAAGTTGAATCCGTGATTAAATCACCATTCATTTTTTACGATAGTGTAACTTCTGCTTCTTTGTTTCTCAGCTTTGTTGCATGCACTTTTCTACATGCATATATTTACAATTGTTTTGTAATGTGTATGTGTGTCTTACTTGTGTGTATAATTTTGTCTTTCAATTAATTTTTTCCCGTTATTTTTTTAATATCAGTACTTTTTTGTTTGTTTGTCCAACCTATGAATTGATACTCTCCACTTTTTCTCTCTCTTTTATGCTTCTATGGTGGTGAAATAACTCAATGAAAAAAAGATTTACCACCAAGCTATGAATGAGAAAGAGTGTGGATGATTGATGTGTTGATTTTGGGGGAAAAAAGGCTCAATCCTTTGGATATCAGGATCAGTGTAGTTATTCTCCCCACTTGCTGCCATTCATTTCCTTGTACCAGTAATTAAGAAAAAAAAAATTTGGTGTTACTGTTATATTGAGCTTACACCTTTCAGTTCATTAGCTTTCCTTTTCTCAACATCAGTTTGCAGGATAATGTCTTCAATTTACATGGTGAAGTTATTTGTTTACTGTATTTGGGAGTTAAGTAGGGTTAACCAAACTTCCTGCAGTTATTAGTAAGTTCCAAAAGATTGATTGTTTTTTCAGTCTAGTTGGGATCTCTCACTATTCTGTCACTATTCTAGCATGTTAGCCATGCTTAAGTTTTGTTGTGCAACATTTGCCCTGGTTTTCAACCAGGAGACTCAGAGGTCATTGAAAATATTAGCTAGTAGGAGAAAACACAGGACAAAGGAGGAGAGCCACGCAAGATCATTAAATTTAACTTTTTTCCAGTAGCTCTTATTAGAAAAAAAAAAAACAAACAAAAAACATAATAGGGGGTTACTGATTTGATTTATCTTTAGTTGATTATTACCTATTTCCTATTTATATATTAGACCTAGATATTTTTTATATGGTTGAATTATAAAATTTTCTTCCTTCCATGTATCTTCTGTAGGACTGATTTCATCATGGGAAGGTTTTCCTCAGCTCCAAGGTACTGAGAAATACCTTAACAGTGGTATTCTAGTGGAGCAACTGTACTTGAGTAGGTGTTGGAGAAAATAACAGCGCTTTGTTTGTCAAACATCCAAGGTGAGTAGTTCAGTAATGTTTGAAAAACACTAAGCTAAGTTGAGTCATTGAACATGGTTTCTCAGCATTGTTCTTTGTATCCTGTATCTTGCATGAGAGGGATCACAATAACTCCATGTGATTACACATGCAAGTATTTCAATATCATGGCAGATTTCTTTTTCTCAATCAGTGGACAACCTTACCCCTTTACACTCTAACAATTTAGTATGCATATTTCCCAAACTGTTCTCTTTTTTACATTTTTTATGGTGCTGAGAACGAGAGTTTGTTATGCTATCAACAGATTCTTTAGTTGATGATCATTACCTTCATCCTCTTGACTCTAATGTGCGATTCAGGGGTGATTTTGTACTTAAGAAGAAGTACATGCTAGTCATTTTTCAGTGGTAAAAGCTGGTTAACAAGTAAAAATGGTCTTTAACTATTAAATGAGCAGGATATCCTATCTTTTTATTTCATGATTTTGATGTAAAAATTATCCCCATAAAGGCACATTGTGGAAAAATATTAAAGGAAATTGATAGGAAGGAAAAAAGGATACATGTATGTATAACTCAAAGCTTGCACAAAACTGTTACTCAAGGGTGCAAGTTTCCTTGAGTTGAGTTGATGTTGTTTGAAGATTGCAATTTTTTTTTTCCAAGAATTATATATCACATTGTTTCATATACTTGAGAAGTATTTCCTGGCAAGTGTCTTTTCAAGTAATATACATTGTACTTAAACCCTTGCCTCTAGCTACATGCAGCAAAATGTAACATGAACCAGTTGCAAAACCCACATATTAGTACCAGTACAGGCATAAATGGCTATTTACTCACAAATGAGATGTAATGAGCCAATCTTACCTTATCATATCTCTTTAGTGAGTACTTAATGGCCCTCTTTTCAATTAATTTATTTCTCAAAGAGATTGGTGCAGAAACCTTTTAAAGAAGTTTCAAAGGAGTCACTCAGTAACTTTATTCAAGAGGAATTATCTTTCACTGACATAATTATAGTAGTATAGTAGTTTCACATAATGTTGGAACCTTGTTTCTACAGTTGACCCTTTTTATTTCCTTTGGGAGCCAATGATAAGCAGCCTTTGATAAGTCAGATTTACAAATTGCCAAAACAAGTTAACAATACCAATACAGGTAGAACTTTCTTATGTTTCAATTACTTTGTTTGAATCATTATTTATACCAAATGGTTTTATTTTTCACAGCCATTACAGTTTGTGAAAAGATTAATGTTTTGGATTTAACCTTTGAGTTGAGAGCTATTGTCACACACAAGTGGCTCCTTTTGGAGCCATTGATTTAATATTTAAGTTCAATGACCAATATTTTACAGCCTAAATTTTGCTGTGCTGGTTTTTTCATATTACTGGCAGTAGTAGTCATTTATAAATTTTATGAAATGAACTGGACTATGGTTTTAAGCCAGTTAAGTGCACATGATGTATGATTTTAGGCTGGTTATAAAGTGATGTCTTAGATGATTTTCAATTTCTATATGGGGATTTGAGGGAAAACTTATTAAAAAAATCTTTGCTATCAGCCAGACCTCTTTCTTTGGAAAAAAAAAATTCAGAAGCAAAGTTTAAGGCTCCTCTAAAATAGCTGGGCTTTCACAGGTGAATAGACATGGAATTACTACAATTTAAAATATTATTTTGTTCTTGGTTTTTAATCATGATTTTATTTTGATTTCTGGAGACTGGTTATGACTATCATACATGTAAGTGCTATATCAAACAAAAATGAGGAAAGTTATGATCCAATCAGCAATGAAATACTAGTTATTGGTGCATGAATTTGCCAAGAGATTACATTCACTACAAGTACAGATACACCTCACTCAGTGAAACCAGAAATCCACAATTTGATGAATTTATAATACTATGTCAACATGCATGAAGCCAACGAGTCAACATACACATAGGCAATGAATCAAACCAAAAAACCCAACAATTGCAGGATGAAAACTGGTCTATTTACCTTACCCCGCTGGCACACTTTCATTGAATCTAAAGCTTGTCCTCTCATGGTAAAATGGACTTAGCATTTCATCTGATGAGTTTCCAAGAATTATATTTAACTTAAAAGGAGCTTCTCAGTTGACTCTAAATAAAACGTTCTGCTTTTGTTGTTGAAATGTCAGCTACAGTCAACATAGAGACTACAGCTCTAACTGAGGTCAAGAAAAATGTCCAACTGACATATCCATCTTTTGGTATGGATGATCCACTCATTGACTTCAATTGTACTGTCCTGCACATATCTTTGGTATGTTTTTATTTGTTAAAAGGGAAAGAAAAAGGAAAATTTAGGTTTAAGGTTCGCAAAAAGAAAAAAATCTCTCTGTTTAGCACTAAATGTCTTGAATACTGAATTCATTAAGAAGATTAACTGAGATCAGATGCCCATAATCTTTTACATTTTAAATTATATTTTCTTGTGGAACAAAAGTTGTTTTAGCCAAAGGCCAATTCTTTTATTCTTTGTTTGACCACTTGAAGAGTTTTAATTCCATATTAAAGTTGCAGTTAAGTTAAGTTAATGGTCCATTTTAATGTAACATTACACACCAAAAGTGATAACCTCTTCTTTAAGTTGCATTTGTGGCTAACTGCAAATTTTCAACAAAAATTAATAAAACTCAGCAGCGCTATTGATTTTGGGACTTGAGTTTGAGTGTTCTTTAAGTGGCATGATAGCTTTATTATCTACATTTTGATGGTGAAAAAGTACACTTGATGTATATGTTGCGAGTGTACTTGCAGATGTCGATGCAAAAAGGAAAAATTATGGTTCAAAACAAAATATTTAATGTGCTCTGTATGTGAAGGAGTTATATAATTTGTCAATATAAATAATTATAAAGTTTAACATTCTTGAAAAAGTCTCGCACACAGCAGAGTAATACTTGATAAAATTTTAAGGCACAGATAAAATTTTAAGGCACAGAAGCTTAAGTTGAGCAGTAGGGAAAAATAGACATGATCTCAAAATTGTATTGAGTTTATGATTTTACAAAGGGCTCACCTGACAGAAACCACTCCCAACGTAGCATTGACTTTTAATATCCACGGAATGTGTAATTCCAGGGCAGTCAAAATTTTGGAAGCTTCCAAATAAAGGGAATGACCTTAGTGCTTCAGAGGACCCCAAAAAGTCTTTACAATGATGATTGTTTTGTCAGTTGCAGGACTTCATGTGAATTATAGGTTACTAAAGAATCATCTTCTGTAAATGTAAAATATAAATACAGCTTCCCAGTGACATTATGCCTTAGTCTACAAAACATTCAGTCTTCCCAAACAAAAAGCATTGCAAAGGCTTTCTGAAAGTGTTTTATTTATTTATCAAATTACAAAATAAAAATGGGATTGGTGGTCTTCCTAGGTCTGGCAGATTTTTCTCACTGAATTATTTACTCAACATGCAGTTGCAAGAGTGATTGAATCCTGTTGTAACAATCTAAATTCAAGGAGAGTTAAGAATTTGACAACAATGACTGAAAAGTATATTTTAGTCACAAAAGTGAATCAAACTTACATGTAAGATTTTGACAATTGGCTAATAATAGTCCATTTATGAGCATCTCTATTGACAGTCAAACCTGTGTTAAGGATCACCTTATTAATCGGTCACACTGTATTAAGGGGTTGTTAGTAAAGTCCGAAATTTATTCCCCTGAATCACTGAAAATTTTGCCTCTATTAATCGGTCACCTCTATTAAGCAGCCATGGTCACCCTCAACTGAGTCCCAATGGCCTGTTTGCATCATCTTCCACTTGTATTGAATGCTCAAACTAGGAATAATCTTTCAAATAATTTTAAATCCATGTTTCTCTCCCAAAATTAAAGTAAGTAGTATTTTTTGAAAATGTACATTAAGTGCAAGATTATGGCCAATAGTGCCATTGTGTATCATTTTTTATAATACTCCTTGTTATAATACCTCTGTAATGTGGAACCTGTATTAGACAATCAACCTGCCACCACACCATTCTCTGTGAGTGACTGTTTAGTTTAAGTTAGATTGTACACCCATACCCATAATGTTAGAGCATGTCCTAGAGCATATGCCAGGGTTCTTAGTATTTCAAGCGAGTCTTCGTGCCAATATATTACATGTAAGTTTTGTTAGTTTTTTTCTACAAATGTGGTACCAAAACCGTACATTTTTATGTGTAAGGTAGGGGCTTCCTTTCATTTGACTTTTATTGATCCTAAAATTTGAGGAGAGAAATCATTATTTGATGAAGTCATATACTGTTTAGGTTTTATAGAAGACAAATCTGCAATTGACGTTGTAATTTCTCTATTATTAGGTTCCTTTCTTTGAAAAATTTTGCCATTAGCATTATTGTCAGGAGACCCTTCTTTTCCTTCAGTATCTAAAATTTGAGGGGAAAGGTCTTCATTTAACAAAGCTGTGTGCCCTTTAGGTTTTATATTGAATGACTCGACAGCCATTGTTACCATTTCTCTGTTGTCATTTTCTTTCCTTTTAGATACTTTACCATTGATTTTACTGACACCAGAACCTTTCCTTTCCCCAGCCTCTTTCCCACCAATTTTCCAACTAAAGGAGTATCCACCTCCACTTCCTTTTCCGCCTCCTTTCTTACCTTCTTCTCTTCTTCCCTCTCCTTCTTCACCTCCTCCCCCTCCTCCTTCCCCACCTGTTCCACCTTTACCACCACCAACACGTCCACTAACAACTCCTCCGCTAACTCCCACTCCACCACCTGCCTCTATGCTAATAGTACCTCCACCTGCTGCACCTCCACCGCCACCTGCACCTCCACCAGCTCCACCAGCTCCACCACCACCAGCTGTTTTCTCAGTACCTCCTCCTCCAACACTTGCTGCTCCTCCACCACCCTCTCCTCCACCAATTCCTCCTCCAC